AAGTGAAATATTTCAGTCACAAAAGGACAAATATTACATAAGACCACTGTTGTAAAACAGGACTGACATCAGGGTTGAGAGAAGTCAGAAAAGGAGGGAAAGAATGATGTATATTCCATTGAAACAGATGACAGAGAAAACTGTTTAAAAGGGACATATAAATCAGTGTTCTTGTTATTACAGAAGTCCAGAGTGAAGACTGCATAATGGAGTGAACTTGGGGGAGGAGGGATTGCATAACAATGAAAGAGTTTTTCTTTTGCTTTTCAATGAGAAGAGTAAATTGGGAGGTGGGGGAAGGGAGAAAAGTACAACAATGAATGACTGGAAACCCTAAGTCTCTGTGAATGTTCATTAAAATTTTAAAAAAGAATAACAACGACTGAAAAAATTCTTGCATCATTAATAGGAATAAGAAAGAGAAGGAGAAGGCAGTAAAAATAAATAGGCATAAGCATTAAGTTACATGAAAACAAGGTAATATATAGACATTTTAATGAATTCATTATATTTATTGATTACTATTAATGTTATAGCACAAAATATGTGCTCATAACTAATTGAAAAAGATTCATAATCTTCCATTGAAATCACAAAAATAAGACAGAAAAGAGAAGAAAGCAAAATGGATACAAGAAAGACAAATGTAAAGAATTTATGAAATAAAAGAGTTGAGTTCAGAATGCACTTCAAGAAGACAAAGTGTTGTGGCAAAATGGAAAAAGACATAGAGTCGGAAAATTCACACTTGTAATTTTATTTTCAAAGTTGCTGTTGTTGATTGCCTTTCAGTCAAGCATTACTCATAGCGACCCTATGAACAAAAAGCCTGAAGCCCTCTACAGCTATCAACACTAAGTTCATATAGTTTCCAGAGGCATGTTATTTAGGAAGTGGATGGCACTCCTGCTTCCAAACCTGTCATAGTATGTCATTGTTGTTATGTGCCACTGAGTCGCCTGCGATACATAATGACCCTAAATATAGCAGCTCTGAACCCTTCCCTGTCCTGAGCCAGTCTCACTAATTCCAACACACCAACCCCTCTTACCCCAGATACTGTATCAATCCATCTTATCCAAAGTCTTCCTCTCCTGCACTGTCACTTCACCCTCTAGAGCATGATGTCCTTCTCTAAGGACTGGTCACTCACTCCTGGCCATGTGCCCAAAATATGTGAGCCAGAGCTTCAAAATCCTAGCCTCCATAACTGCCACCCAAACAGATACACGCACACCTTTGTTCATTTCGCCTTTGTTCACAATAGCAAAAGTTGAAAACAACCCACATGCCCATCAACAAAAGAATGGACAGAGAAGCTCTGATATATTCACACAATGGAATACTATACAACATTGAAACACAAGGAACTTATGAAATATTACACAAAATGGGTGACATGGAGGACATTATGCTGAGTAAAATATCTCAGTCACAAAAAAGGCAAATATAGCATAATGCCACTGTTATAAAAGAGGACTGATATAGGGGTTGAGGGGAGACTGAGAAAGACGGGATAAACAATATACTGCATTGAAACAGACGAGGGAGAGGACTATTTAAAAGGGATATATGTTTAGATATTATTGCTATGACAATATTATTATTATTAATAATAATAATGTTATTATGACAATAAGCATTCAGAATGAAGATAGCATAGTAGAGTGGACTTGGGGGGAGGGATTGAATAACAGTGAAATAATTTTTTTTTTTACTTTTCTAATAGAAGGGCAAATTTGGGGAAAGAGGTGGGCAGAGAGAAGAATACAATAATGAATGAAAGGAAATCCAAAGTCTCTGTAAACTTTCATGAAAATAAATTTAAAATAAAAAAATGTA